CTCGATGGGGCTGAACCATTGACAAATCAAATTGTAGAAGCTTACTAGCTGGCATTTCCCCGCTCCATAAGTCTCTCCGTATCCCCGAAACAAAAACAAGAAGCGATCTGATGGGTTCCCCTTCTTTCCGCAGCGGTCACATTCCATTATCTTCCAGCATCTTAAGTATCCACGTTTCATGGACCCAAAGTGGTCATATCTCACGTTTGAATCGGCCAAAGCATTGCGGATTCTAGGGTCTTCTGCTTGTTACCGATGCTGGTCGACCTCTCTGGTGTATCGGTCGCTCATGGCTCTTTATTATGGTCTCTTTCCGCTTCCTCTAGGTAGACTAGCCTCAGGTCTCCTTAGTTATCCAAATTATCTAGGCTGTATCCCTCCAAACCCTACTCATCTAGTGTCGCTCAGAATGCATACCTAAAACGACGGTCTACATCTATAGGTCGATCCGGATGAGCTGGCATCTTTTGCAGGATTTTGCTGGCACCAAACAGTGTCTTGCCATACCGTGCCTTCATCTTCTGGAGCGCCTTCAACGCTTCCGCCAATTCTTCCACATCTTCTGGACGTAGCACTGTCAATTGGTCTGCCAACTATGGGTCGTCCACGGTCTCGATGTAGTACTCGACATATTTCTACTGAATCTTGGACGATTCATTCTTAATCTTCAGCTCCTCCCTGAGAGCGATCACGCTCGCGCGTTACAAATAGTCCGACGGGGAGTCATCTGAACTCTCTTTGCGTGGTAGTACTGGCACGCTACTGGTGCCCCAGACCACAGAAACGCATCTGGATTTCTTGCAGCAGGTCCTTCCATTTACTCAAACATAGCGGCCCAATTTGGCGGTACCAGTTCTGCGCGGACCGATCAGCTGTCCTCCAAAGGCATGACACGTTTTGCTGTCCGTTGCTTTGTCACTTGCGAAGGCCGTCTTCGCCGTGGTCACCCCACTGCATGCTCGGTATTCGTCCAGGTCTTGACTATTGATCTCCTTAAGGTCCAAAGTCTCAGAAAGTGGAATGCGGGGGACTACGTTAAGTCCCTGCCCCATCGGGCATTAGCGATCCTCGTCGGAGTTTTCTTTAGGTCCAGGTCAGCCAGGTCAAATTCGTACGAACCGACCGATTCCATGTTGACTTCCGACATTTTTGGCTGCCTTAAGGCTTGGACCTCTTTACTTAAACCATTTCGAGTAGTCTCCAGTCGCAGTTCCTGTAATCCACTAGTATATCCCCGTTTGGGGCGTGTCGGTGGCACTTGTCGTTTACGGAGGAACCTTTCCATCGCCGCGTCGAAGTATGTATGAAAATTACTTACCATGTCGGTATGTGCTTCCTCCAACCTCTTCACCACTTAAGGTGCTAATCGTTTGGGGTGATTTGGTCGTTCTTGTGTAAGGCAAAATTTTAGCCTACCAGGAGTCAGCAATTCCATTAGCTTTCCACGTGTTACCTTTCCGTGAGCGGCCTGTTCCAACATGTTCCCTGTTTGAACTGTCATTCTGTTCATCCTATAGATTTCATAATGTATTCGCCTTCACCTTTTATGCTACAAATTCAAATCTAACTCATGGCTATTGCTGCGCCGTCTCCGGTGTACTATTGTACAACTGGAAACCCGTAGCACACTGGTATGCCGCCTTTCTGCTTCTAGTAGGGAAGTTATTAATTGTAACAGCAACAGCGGGTGCACAAATGTCTGTTCACGGAATTTTCTGTTAAAATTTAGTTTCGTAAGACATACGAATAGCCTAAATGGTATGTAGGGCATATATGTCGTGTTTGCAAGATAATTTAAATATAACCTGCAAACACGCTCTGAAACTTGTGTTATATACAAATTAGGCGGTGCAGAATTCCAAATATGCGGACATGTCTTGAAACATTTCTTCTTCCAGTCAAGGTTCGTGCTGGGTCCCTGTCATAGCATCAGATGCCTTATTATGTACCAAATATCGTTTTACAACAACGTTTTAACTCATGTCATGTTATATTATTCATTCTCTCTTTCTAACAGTTCGGTATGTTTTTGTGTCTTCCAATGGCTCGTTCTTCCCGAACATAAAAACAAGCATCACCTACCTATTTTTTTAGTGATCACTCCATTAATTTGCAAAGACACGTACAATGAAATAATCAGAATAGAACTTAGGCAGAATTTACGTTCGAACATCGATACATTATAAAAAGTCTAATATGCAATAAACATATGATCGATTTATGAATACGTCCGAAGAGATACTCAGACATATAACAGTCGATGAATTTATCAATATACTTAGACCGATGTCCGATTAAGTAATTTGAATACAATAAATTCGGATTGAGCCACATAAACCAATACCAGATCCTCTGTAAGCTGGTAATTCTGTTAAGGATCAATGCTTTGATTCGATAGCAATCTAGAAATCATTGCGTATTCACGTGTACGATGCGCTGGAGGGCCAAGAGTTCTATGATTTGGCCCTGATAAATGTTGATCTCGCTTATTGTTCAGGGTCAGAGTCTCAGTCTGGGCACATGCATTCGCAAAACATTTCGTGTCGTGATTGCGATATTCATGGCCAAATGCTTCAATCTCGTTACTAGAAGGTCTATGGATCGCAGTAGGCTATGCACACTAGTCCCAATACGCATTGTGATTGATCAAATTGCTCTTTAAAACGCAAATTAAATCAGTTTAGTCTTGGGGCACTTGGTTCAAACTTTTGAACACTTGAGTAATTAAGCGATATTGTTGGTTCATCCTTTTACAATGACTACTGCGACGGATCTAAATTAAAACCATGCACATGATGTCGAGCTTGTTATGGTTTCAATTTATTAGGTGCTTACATTTTTTTGGACGTAGAGGCACACAAGTCTACATTTGTCAGGAGGATACAGGATCCCGCCCGTAAATGTAGCTTGCGTATCTCGTTTTAAAGTGGTGGAATCGTACCTGTGTCTAAAACCTACCAGAGCATGTAAGATCACATGAATATGACATTCCAATTTTTCATAATAGCGTCCAGATTAACGCTGATATTGCAATTGGTATTGTAGGTCTAAATGGTTGCGCTTGGTGTAAGCCTATAATGCCACCAAGTTTTTTAAGACATGAACTTAGATTGTTGATCTCACATGTGCCGTAATCTCGGTACCAGTGAGTCCGAACCAAAGCTTCAACCACGATTTGTCACCTAATGCAGTGACCTTGTGGTTTCGAGTATCAAGGGAATTATAATCCCGATCTCGTAAAAACGTTTTACCACTTCTGTCAGCCTTTATCTCGTATATTATGGATTTACGATGTACGCATAGCGGGTATGGCAGCAACAGTTGCCGTATATGACCCCATTGTCGGATTGCATTACCAATTCGTCAAAATAAAAGTACCCTAGTTACCCTATTACCAGTAATATTATACCACAATTGAGATAGTGTACAAGATTGCAGCACCGATTAACCAACATTTAGACCCCAAAGCCAGATCACAATATCAATCAATAATACATTTACTTTTACATAGATCAAATGCCGAATGGGCTAATTAAAGTTCCACTATACCGGATCCCAGTACAAAAAAAAATTCCATTCCTATAATACCAATCTCAATAACAATTGACCAAATGCAGGTCTTGTATGCCAGATCGCTACAAGCGTCCTTTGCTTCGTTTCGGGCCGCGCCAATCAGGCATGTTGATAATCGCTGAATATCAGAATGACAACTACATCGCAAGCACAGCTATCCATGTGACACGCATAGCTAATTCCCATGTCCTGTATTGCAATTAGTATATTTGTGCCACTTATTGCTAAAATGCCGGATTGGGGCCAGCCGTTCGGCGATGGGATTATTTTGAAACAAACACCTTTTTACAACCGCCTCCTGAACCGAATTTGTGCAAACAGCTCTCGGTATCTATTTATTTAGCCCACAATCAAATACTGGCCGCCATGTGATGTAGTTACAGCCACATCAAAACATTTGATCCACGACTGAAGTTTTCTTCTTGCCTCATGTCGTTGTCCGCCGATGGTGTCCACTGTGCCGACCTTCTTCGCTATGTTCCGCCTGAAAACATTCGGAAATCTGACCGACGATTTACGCGACCGGGCCGTAGCTTAAGATGATCATGAGAAAGTCTTTACATTTGCAGCAAAGCTTTAGAAACATCAATCACGTGGAAGTTGTTTGAAATGTATGCATTTACAATAATCAGCAGCACATTTGTTCGACGTCGATACAATTCAACTTGGCATCGCATCAGAACTGCACTCTAGCACAGCGCACAGTATCACGATGCGTCGGCACTCCGACACGATCAGGTATTCGAAATCGAAACTTCGCATTCGCATCGTCGGGTTCTGATCCAAGACCACCAAGCAGATGAACTTCAGTTTTACGTCAATCTTTCTGTACTTGCAAAAACGGCTGCGTAATCGCCACGAAGGTAGCACAGAACGTCTGCGTAGTCTATACCAAGACGTCAGGTGAAGTGCAGTTTAAATACTTGATCAAGAACGTGCCTACTTTGTTGCCCACATGAAACATCTCACAGAGACCGCGATCATTTCAAAAGGTTGCAACTCGTTCAACAGTTCTTGTCCAAATCAACGAAAGGTTCTCATCAGCGCATTATAGTCCAATGAATTACATGTTGCGGAGAGGGGGCGTTCAAAATACGTGCATCGACCAACGAATCGCTTTCCGGAGTTATTCAATTTCGTGAAACTGAGAGTGTGCGACGCTAACGTTTAAATTCCGCTATTGCCAATCGACAAACCTCTGTATCGCATGCAGTTTTGATTTCCAACGTGGTGGCAAAAGAGACGTTCGTATTACCGGGTCCTAATCACGAAAGCCAGCGAGTTATGTTATGGCCTGTTGATGATATGCTGACGATGACGTTGAGGTGAAAGTTAGAATGTTGCCAACCAGCTCAGCTTTGTTGTCGTATAGACTTCGAACAGTTCGGACTTGAACACTGTTACCTTTGTGCATACAGAAGGCAAAACTACCATATCTGACACTTCTTCGTCGGGTTCATGAGTGAGCCAGCAGGGCACGAGAAAATGCGAGCAAAGTCATGCGAGTTGCCTGCAGCTCCATTGATGCGCCACCGGTCGGGCGAGACCGAATCTGTGGCTAAGATTTTGGTCATGGCGGCGTCAGTCCACTTCGAGCATTCATTCTGGGCGAATGAGACGAAGAAAAGCTTGTCAGCCACATCGGGAGGTAAGCCAGGGTCCGCCTGGCCCTGCGAAACGGTTGTCGCTTTACCTTCGTCGATCTTGCTCGGAGCCTTGGTCTGCTTTGCAGCGTATGCCTGATACGCTTGGAAAGACAACTTCAGGCCGCCACTGTCCGCGATATTCCCTCTTACAGTGAGCTCACCGTCAACGTGACCCAGCAATTTGTCCTGATCCTCGCTGCTCCTCTCCGAGAACTTACTATATTGCTCCACGAAGCATTCGGCTCGCTGTGAAAACTCCGTTGCTGTTTTGTTGCTCCACCAGTCTCTCAAGTTGCCGTCACCATCAAAGCGTTTCCCGTAGGCGTCTAAAGCATGCGTGAGGATGCTCGCAAAAACTCTACCAATCGCCCCAAAATTGCGCGCAGGCTCTTCGTCCAGACCAAAAGATGGCGATTGAAAACTTCCAGCAGGAACAGCAATTTGGTTTGCATCTTGACGGTAGGACAGACTTGATTCAGCGCCTGAGATATCCCAAGCGTTGCGGTTTACCGGGTGATCGATCCGTTCCATAGCTCGATCAAAGGCATGCTCGTTAATAATCCGCAAGTTCTCGGCAAGTGGTGCGTCGCCGTGTAGTTTGTACGGAAAATTTTCGGAACGATTCGAATACCCGATAAGGGTGGTCATCTTGCCCAATTTTTCAAGAGCGCCCTGTCGAGAATATTCGTCCAGCCAATCCAATTGCATGAGATCCTTCTCAAGCGATGCTTGAACTTGCATCACGAGATCCTTCGCGAGTCGCTCACTAGCCTTGTCGAAACGGAGAAGACCATAGTACATGCCGACCAAATCAGGGAAACTGTCGGTGACATGCTTTAGACACACCTTCCATCGCGGATCACGACTCTTTTTGTCGTCGAGCGTCTGCTGAAAGAAGAAGAAGTACGCCTGAGCGAAAGGCTCACTCAGAGTGCTTGCCTTGTCGCTGATGTATTGGTACGTAAGCACAGCTTTCAGAGTGTCGAGCGTCACAGAATCTCCAGTCACGAGCTCCTCAACGCGCTTAAAGAACGCGGGTGTTTCGTCAACTACAGTAGCGTTTCGAGCATTAAGGTCCTTCAGTGTTCCTGTTCCGCGCATGAACTGTGCAAACAGTAGCGGGTACTTCTCAGCGGCTTGAGCCACACTCATGGGGTTGTATCTTGTTTCCGGATCCTGTAGCTCATTTTCCGGTACAAACAACGGTGCAAGCTTTTGCTCGAAAGCAATCACTAAGGAAGCTTGCAATGCTGCTTCGTGTGATTCCCAGCCTACCAGCGAAAACAATTCCACAACGTACGCATGGAATGGGTCTCTGACCGATTCAAACCGTTTAAGATCCAGGTAATACTCCGAATCCGGCAGCGAGAGACCCGCTTGGTGCGCGCGCACTGCATACACGGTATTTTCTGTAACATCCGCCATGTCACTGATTTTCGTCAAGAAGGAAGGTCCCGCTTTTGAAAGCTTGCCAGCCAGCTCGAACAAATCGCTTTTGCTTGTCGTGGCTGCAATCTGCTTGATTACTGGCTTCAAGAAAGCCACAGACGCCGCGTTCTCTGTTGCGCTGCTCCCGTTGCTGTATCTCATGCATGAATCGTACAGCTCGCCGAGTAGTGGCCACTCTTGTTGCATCACTTGTTGCAGTACCTTTTCCACCTCTTTGGACATGGGGGTATAAGCCAGATACATGTGCGACTTGTCGTCAGGGATTTTTGCTTGTTTCAGCCACGACCCGCAACTGAAGGCGTACAGATCGTCGCACGGATCCACTTGAGTGTCCATGTGACCCACGACGTCTTGTGGGAGCAGCTCAATCCAATCACCCGCACTGGAGGTATCACCTTGAAGCTCTTTTGAGGGACGCATCGGATCACCTCGAACAACCGGGACCGCGACGGCAAGGAGTAGCATGGCCAGACCTCCAACTTTCCAGGCCGCGTTTGGCTTTTTGTGCTCGAGAACAAGCGGTGGGACAGCTCCGGCACTCTCTCGCGAGCCCTGCAAGTCCTTACAATGGGTAAGTGGCTGTCCGTTCACTTGAGCTTCTTGATCTTGCGTCAATGCGGCACCACTGGCGTCCACAGGAATGTCTGCCTCTACCAGAAGTGTGGTCCCATTGTCGCACTCGCTGGCAGCGTGCAAGGTCGTGTCGGGCGCAATTAGAGTCATACCAGGATGCGTGATTCAATCCGAGAAGTGGAGGTCCAGTTGCAGCTGACTGATGCTGTTAGTTTTGAAACGCAAATTGCGAAGTGGGCGATTCAGCGGCAGGAAAAGTGGCGGGCAGGGCTGCAGCTTGAGGTTTTTTACATGCTTACGATTGCGCGCTCGACGGGCATTTTCTCATCTTACTTTCACTTAGTATCTCGTGAGTGTATCCCTGATCCTTGGCTACTGCGCTTTTCATCTGGTCATGGGTGTAACAAAGACCAATCACCGTCGAGACTCTGAGACGCGACGTCGTCCATCTGCAACCACGTTGGTTCTCTCTAATCACATAAATTGGGCCTGTCGTTCGCTATAAACAGCTTTCTATCAAGAATAGGATTGTGAGCATTGTTTTTACTCATAGTACGGTAGTGTCGCACAAATGTTTCTTTTCGCACTGTCGATCTCATCGTCGATTGTTGCCCACTTCCACGTTACTGTGACTAGGCTACTACGCGTAGGATTAAGCGGTGCAATGCACTGTCAGTATACCTACGGCCTCAGACATGGTCTTTGGCAAAGTGGCAGATTTTTAAGTGCTGGCCGGACCGCCAGTTCTCGTCCTTGTGAAACCAATTGTCATCGCACCGGAGGCGGGACTCGTACTAGTAATCATTGCCTTAGAGATCTGCTTATCGCACCACAGTATCACTACGCCCCAATGAGGTTGAAATGTACTTTTATTTCAAGTCGTTGAAGAGATCCTGCATGATTAGAACCAAATCGCACCGACAACTTGGCGACCAGACTTTTTACACTCAAGCATAGTCTGACACCAGAAGCGGTTCATCCCATCAAGTGAAAACCTTGGAGCGAATACGAAATATGTATGTGACGATCTGATTGCGAAGTATTTTAAATAAAGAAGATTGCAACATCAGAGCTAGATATGTTGTAACGGGGTCACACTAGCCTTTGGCTGAATTGGTCAAAGACCTCCCATGAATGATATGGATGAATGTGCGTGACCTTGGAAATTATATCAGCAAGCGAATATCGATAGATCGATATTCCTAAGTTTACGGTACTTACCGTGTACGTACTTTGTACCGTCATCATTTGATGACTGAGTGATGTGGCAACCATCCATTTAGTTCGAATACCAATATTTGTGTTTAAGAAACGCAGGGTCTATCAAGTAGGATTTTCCTGATATAAAATATAAATAAAGTTCAGTTCTCATTTTGAGCAGAAGTCCCTAAACTCCGCTATAACGGGGCCCCTTCAAGCTTGTACTGAGGACAGTACAAGCTACTTATTCTGATGACAGAATGAGGCGGTGCCGCGGAACTTCACGTACACTGGTAGTGCAGAGGAAGACGGTAAGAAGAAGCGAGTACTTGGTTAAAGTAAAAAGTAGAATTGTATTTATCATAGTTAATGTCTGATAAAAAATTACTGTTTATCCTCATCCACCTGTCTAAATACAAATGTGTAAATCAATTATCTGCTCACCACTCATTGCGCGCGTCCGTCGTGGCGCGTCTTTGTTGGGTGATATAATGACCTATATCAACCAATTAGGAACTACTCGTGAGTGCTGCAGAATATTTGTCCTTATGACAATATTCTGAGAATATGACTCTTATAGTTATATTCTAATAACAATTTCTTATAAATTGTTATGAAACGATTCACCCCGTTACGTCACCCCCCCCTTAATCATCAATAACTTTAGTGACTGATTGACTAAATGAATACTCGTCCCAAATCATTTGGGACAGGGTTTGCACTTGTTGGTCCGAGTCCACTTTCCAACAGTTCATCGCATGGTTAACAAGCCCATGCGGTGCGCGAGCAAGGCCGCCGAGAGCGCGTCCGCACGTCTCTGTGCGGACGCCGAAGCAGAAACCGCTGCAACCTATGTGTCATCGGTTGCTAAAGCGTCTCAGCCTGTATCACTTTGTGATGCAGGCGCTGGTCATGAAGACACTCATGTCTTCACAGAGTATAAGCTCGGTGTCTCATACTCTTTTGACACTGAAGAGGGATCTGCATCGACGGCGATCGAATCCAAGCCGCCTGCCAAGCGTGGTATGGATGATGCTACGCGTCGTAGCATCTTTGGTTCATCTGATGAATCAGATGAACCATCGCCGAAGCGAAGGCGCTCATAGTGGTGTCGGTTCTCCTATGGACACCACTTCGCAAAGAGGTGCCAGTCCTTCTGTCGGCACGTCGCAAGAAGAGCGGGACCGCAACGTGTTGCGTCTCGCTTCTGAGAAGAAGGCATGGATGCCTCCCGAATCTGTCATGGATCACCTGTCGGCGACGACGAGTGATCGTTATCGAACACGATTGTTCGATTCGTCAAGGATCCATCACCTTGACCCTAGCGCGAAAAACTATCGCGCTGAGAATGATTTCTTCATCGATGCTTGTTTTAGACATCGATGGTACAGTGGGAATCACAAGCGTGATGGTCCCTCACTGCTTCAGGCGTGGAACGCCTACATCCATAACCTTGAGGATGTAGGTCGTGACGCTTGGAACGACAAACTTATCAAAGCTCGTGATAAGTTTGAAAAGCGAACCCCGACAGGTGCACGCTACAAGCTGCATCGTCTGTCAAGGGAGAAAGGATTACCCTGCCTCTCTTGGGGAGACTCGTGCCCATGTTATGTGAACAACTCTGCACGAGCACCTAAGGAGGCTTACCTCCCTAATAGCCCGTGGTGGCACGTACGTATCTCTAGTGAGATGTACGAAGGGATTGACAACCTGAAATCCCTTTACGACCGTGCCGGGAAGACTTTTCCGGCCGTCCTTCTGCGGCACAGGATGTGCCGCGTCGTACTGCTCGACCAGACCCAGTAGGTCAACCGTTAGTTGGGAGCGGGGCTCCCAAGTATTCCAGGACGGGGGATAGCCGCGCCACCGGACGAGATAACTCGTCCGACGTCCGTTCACATCGCGTTAGTTCAAAAGCCGCTCAACCAGATAGCGCTGGCCACCGCAAGAGTCCTCTAATGGAGGTGGAGGAGGAGGGAAGACGCTCTCCGCACAATCGTGGGGATCCGTGTGTTCCCGAGAGCTTCTTTGATTGCGTTACTATTGCGTTGCGCGGCGACCTCGAGCATGGGCGGGACAGGCGTCTTCAACTGGCGGACCCTGTCTTGAAGCATCGAGCTGAGTTTGCCTTTGCTTAGCTTGAGAACGAGAGAGATTTGACATCTCTGCGTGACGAGCCAGTGGTAGCTCGTGTGGATATTAACCGATCTCGGGCTGAGATAACTGCTCTTCAGACCCTTGTTGATATCCACCATCAGGAGCACAAGGCTCTCTGTGAGATGCTTGAGCGCAAGGGCGTACTTCATCGGAAGAAGCAGCGTACTGACGGTACGGCTTAAGCTGACCAGCGTAAATGTGGGATGCGTTGCCTAGGCGATGCAACAAACGAAATGGACCGATGTAGCTGGGCAGTAATTAACTGCTGCCCACGTTTGTCACTGCGTGCTTCGGTAAGTTTACTGTAGACAGTAAAATTAGGTCTCCTCTATCAAATGAAAGAACATTTGTTCTTCCACGTTTGTCTGCGTTTCTCTTCTGTCTGTCTAGTGCATCTGCAATAGAGTCTTCTCGAGTCAGCAGAAATTCCTCTGATGATTCACCCTTGTCAACAGCAGTGCGCTTCGTTATCACTGCTAAATGAACGTTGTCTTCACCAGTGAGGGCGTCATCGTCCTTACTGTGGTGGTCTTTGGCGATGCTGGATGTGCCAGCATCGTCGTCATCGTCGTCATTGACATCGATCCCATCGACGTCGGCATCCACCACGTCGACGGTTGATGAGCAAGAACCAGATCGGGTTTTGTTCGAGCGAGTCCACCCCCCCCCTTAAACTAGAGTCACCCTCTAAGAAGGCGGATAAATGTGGATGGCGTAGGCCATTTACGAAGAATGGTGTATGCGTTGTCGATGCATGCACCGAGTTGTAGATAGTGAATTATGCCATCGGCAAGAACTCACTCCAGCGCGTAAACGAGTGGACATACCTTCGAAGTATCTCTTCGAGGACGCAGTTGACGCGTTCCGTCTGACCATCCGTTTCGGGATGGTCAGAAGTTGACATCGTCAAACGTGTTCCAAGTGAACGGAACACGGATTGCCAGAACTCCGCTGTGAAGCGGGGGTCCCTATCGGACACGAGTTCACGGGGTAACCTGTGAAGTCGGAAGATAGTATCGGTGAAGACGCGCGCAGAGCTCTAAGCTGTGAATGACTCCGGTACAGCAAAAGATGTACCATCTTGCTGAACCGATCAACAAGTACAAGAAATGCCAGTATTCTTGTGAGCGTCCTTGGGAAACCTGAAGATGAAGTCCATTGTTAAGGACTGCCAACACTCTGCCGTAATCGGTAGAGGCTGTAAGGGTGCGCGGGATGAAGGACTAGGCTTCACCCGTTGACAAACTTCGCAAGCGCGAATGTATTTCCGCACAAACTCATACTGGCGGGGACAGTAAAAGTCACGACTTACCGTGAGGTAAGTCTTTTCTCTACCGCGATACCCGCTAGTTAGGACATCGTGACCCTCATACAAGATGCACAATCGCAGATCATCATGGGCGGGAACGACGACACGAGGCGTGTCACCGGTGACTGCAGTATAGTACAGCAGTCCATCACGAACCGAATACCGTTCGGATAAAGAGGGATATTGAGACGACAAGCTTTTCAAACCTTGAATGCATGGATTAGACGCTTAATCCATCAATCGCAGAAGAGACTCACTTTCTGCGTATGCCTTCCGCACGTCGTCGAGAGGATTCGACGACGGAAAACTCACTGATAATGTTGCAACAGCGGGATCACCTCACTGTTAGGTTGAGCAGTCGGCTCAAAATCGGGCCGACGCGAAATAGCATCAGCGACGACATTAAGTCGTCCTGGTTTAAAATTGACGAAAACGTTGTACTCCGAGAAGAAAGACAGCCATCTTGCCATTCGTTGCGAAAGATGTGGAATGCGTACGTCCGTGCGTAACGAAGCATGGTCGGTATAAACGACAAAGAACCTATCTCCTATAATCTTCGAAGGAGTGCTGACACTGAGCACACCGTCACCACCTATTGTTTTTCTTTAGTAGACGAGCGAGATGTGCGGCCATCTCGGCATGGTTCCGCGAGTATTTGTGCAAGTACGCCGCCAAGCCAAGGAACTTTCGACGTCCCTTGACGTCGACTGGCACAGGCCAGTCGCTAATCGCCTTGATCTATTCCGGATCAGGGCGTACACAGGTCTTACCAACGATGCAGCCAAGAAGTGGTGTTTCGTTCGCTGCGAATATTCACTTCTTGAGGTTCGCGAACAACTTTTGCTCTCGCATATGTGTAAGAACCTTCCGGACGTGGATTCTATAAAACCTCGACGTACGTCTTTCCATCTATGGCCCGGCTATGGACGAATACATCGTTTAAGTGACTCAGTGCGAAATCGCGCACCGATCGCAACAGGTTCGTAATACATCTGCTAAACGTTGTAGGGGCGTTACTTATCCCCTGTGGCATAACTAGCCACTCCCATAGCATACCACTGGGGGTGCTCACTGCTGTGTAAGGGACATCCAGTTCATGCATTAGGATCTGATAGAATCCATCCATCAGATCCTTGGATGAAATGATGGTACTCTTTGACATACCATCTATGATGACATCCTTTCTTGGGATCGGCGTTTGAGCCGGTACCGTTACAGCGTTAAATTTGTTGAATGCGTGCACTATCCGCCACCCTCCTGCGGCCTTTCGAACACAAAAGGTCGGAGAGCTGTGTGGGGATGTTGATTACCTCACATAACCAGCCGCTAATCGATCGGCAAACAATTTGTCGATCGCAAGTACTTGCTCACGAGGCAGTGGTTACTAATTTATGACACAGTATTTCGAACCAGGTTTCAGTTCGATCTCATGTCGAGTGCCTTTGTCCTTGGGCAGCTCGCACGGCACGGATTCCGGGAAGACATCCCTGAATTCCATCAAATCCTTATACAAAGGATTTGTCTTGAAGACTCCCAAGATTAAGCATGTATCGCTCAATTTAGGTCCTCTCATCGAGGACACTCTCGCCTATCGATGAGCTACTGAGAAACCGTTCATTCTCAGTAAACACTTGTGTCGACAGAATCTCGGCGACGTACTCGTCCTCTGTGAAGAGTACGCAGATCTGCGTGATCTTGTCACTACGCAGATCTCACAAAAAACTTTCAGATTCTAGCGTTGGCAACTTGGCCACCTCCGAAGCTGACTTCGAGGGCGTCTCCAGATCAAGTGTATAAGCGCCTACACCTGGTCCTTCATTCACCAAAACATTTTCTGTCTCGGTGGTTTCCTGGTAAAACACATCCGCATATGGTTGGGGATCCACACCATCAGCATAACGCTTTTAAAAGTTATCACCCTCAGCAAAGCTGGATTTTTCTTCCATTACGTGTACTGACTGTGGGTGTACTACCACATTCACGTCCTCTTCGATCGACTCTCTTTCAGTCGAGCGGGCTTGCTCTACTATCGACTCTCTGATAGTCGATCTCGCTGTAACTTGCTGCTCATCCTGAACAACACCGATCTCTCTTCTTGAATGCAACCTTTTTGGTGTGCATCCGTGTTCCAGTCCACTCGATCTCTTCGAGTGGTGAACCTTCGGCGCCGGCTGTGTCTCTACACAGGTGCCGGAAGCTGGTTCCACAGTGTAGTGGCCTGCTACACTGTGATCTTGTGCATTCGTACTAGCAACCGTACCACAAGTGAGGCCATCGCATTCACTCGTAGTACATCCACACGCTTGTGGACGCTCCAAGACGTTCATCAGATGGTCATCTGATGAACAAACGGCAGGCATCGTAACGGATCGATGCTGCCCAGATAATCCATGGCTGGTATTTCCTAAGCCATGGAAGACCAAGGATGACATCGAATTTGTCATCCAAATCAAGTACGAGTGAAGTCATCATCGTACTGTTTTCCTTCTAGCGTGTAGTGGATTCCCACTACACGTTTGTTCACTGTTACGGACGCGCCTGCAGCAAGGCACACCGTCATCCTCGTTGGAGGGAGCTCTCGCTCAACATAGTTGAGCCTACCATCCTCTAGCGACTGGAGTCGAATAAAACTGTTCGACGCCCCACAGTCGACTAGGGCGCGAAGTGACATTCCACTTGTCACTTCGATTATTAAAGTGATGAGAGAGTCCTCATCACTAGGGGCCGTAACACACAGCTACTGTTTGTTGGAAGGAATCTTCGTCAAGAGTCCTGCAAATTCTTTCGACGTTGCTATTTCAGCAGGATGCTTCGCCCCTACGGACCCTGACCGTTCTTTTTACGGTCCCACTTGCTGTCACGGCTTATCGACATGGTCGGACCCACGCCTTGGACCTTTCCTCGGCCAACGGTGGTCATCACGTCCTGTCTTTGGACGTGTTGCGGGCTAGGGACACTACACTCATGAGCGTAGTGCCCAATCTTCTGACAGCGATGGCATCTTGCCGTTCGCTTGTGACTCAGAGAGCGAGAGTTCTCGCTCTCGATGTAACAGAGTTCCAGTGGTTCGGGACCTCCTGTTTCCTGTCGTCTCGTCGGACGATAGTTTGACGAGTTAGCCTGAGACCGTTACAGGCTGGAGTCTTCTTGTTCCGCATACGCTATCGCCTTTTCCAGCGTATGGAAGTCCTCTTGGAATATTTAGGTCTTCACCGGCCCATCCACAAGGCCGTAGATGAACACGTTGATGAGCGTGTGCTCATCAATAGGGTTTTCTTAACGCTACTCACAAGATAGCGTAGGTGCTGTGCGTAAGCTTGCACGTCACGCTTAGCTTGCTTTAGCGTCAACAGGGCAGAGCGTGCTATGAACTCGGATCGAGGCGGCTTAAACTTCTCTTTGAGCCGAGACTTCAAGATCTCCAACGACTCAAACCCGTTTAGGTCGTGAAGCTTGAGCCCTAAGGCCCAAGTCATTGCTCGTCCCATCCAATTTTACAGGGCGAAGGTGACTTAAATCTCGTCACCCTCGATGTGACGGGCCCAGATGGCATCGTCTAACTCCACGAACCATCTCAAAAGGGAATCTCCATCATTTCCCTTGTACCTTGAGATATCGATTTTCAAGGTCTCAGGTTGACGCGTGTGCGTCGGTCCGCCCATCGACTGGTGA